ACAATTGCGAGGGAGTCCAACGGACGCGCGGGATGGAAGGAGGAGGAGAGGGTACTTTATTTAATTTTCGCGACTCACGAAACGCATTCTGCACCGCACGTGTCCTGGAGTGCTCGAGGAATTGTACCGCAGATCGTTACTTCTTCGGCGAATCGCCCTTCGAGGAATCGATTTCCGCTCCGCGCGCACATTCGCCCGCTATGAAACTCGTCCGATTATTACCGAGGACTCGCGGAATAATGACGGTGGCCGAGAGCGACCGTTGCGCTAATAATTGTGATCCAGTTGCGCCGAATCGATGCCGAAATTGTACCCACTGTACAAGAAGTTACGAACCGCCCGAAATACAGTCGTGGCGATTGTTGTAATTTTTGTTCGGTAGTTTTTTTGCCGAAAGACTTAATCTCATCAATAAACAATAAATTAATCGTGAATAAAGATGAGAACGGTTAAAAATCGTACTACTAACGCGCGCATATCGATTCTGTCTGACACCGTTTAATGGTATAATTCTTCATCAGCAGAGTCGAGACGTATTGACAATTAATTAATTACATGATTTACAATCTGCATTACTGAATTAATAATGTATTCTATTAAAGCAGCAGCTTTCATCGCTTTGAACGAGTAAATTTACATATTTCTAAGTTTATATTCTTTTCAAATATAAAAATATCGTGTAGTCTCAATAATTATCGACAGAACGACTTAATCACAAAGTGAAGCAATAACTGTGTGTCACAGAATTCTTTTTAGCCATGTATATGTTTTAAAAATTTTCAAAAATAATTAATCTTAAATCAAATTAATGCATAATCTTACTTTACTCGATCCCCGACATTATTTCGATATCGGTTATATTATATGAAATGCTGTTCAATCTTCAATCGTGATCGGCAGAATAATTTAATCTCAAGTGCAATCGAGTTGGGCAAGACGATTAGTTATAGAAAATGCGTGCCTAATATCGCCCGCGTCGTAATCGCGCGCGGTTGGCGCAACAATATATTGCAGCACGTGTATTTTTTAGCATTTCGATTGCGCGGTATCGCAATAATGGTAATATTGTCAGCTCGCTAAAATTGTCGGTAGATAATGACGCTTCTTATTAACCAGTTATAAATGCAACAACGTGTATATGTACGCGCCGCGGGCCCGCCAGACCGACCTTTTTGTTCGCTTCGCGATCGATCCACGTTGCGCATCGTTACGTGTAACCTTTCAAGTGGTGCGCGCGCTTTAGAGAATCCGAAACCAAATATACATTCACGTTACCCGAGTTGAATTTGCAGTAAATTGCGGAAATCCAGGGCTTTTGCTTGAAACGTACGTTTGCCGCGACGTGTATGCGCGCAAATTGTCGGCTGTACTTCTAAAAAAAATATTAATTTTAATATTAAATACGTACATTTTCATTAGCGATGAGTCGTATTACAGATTTTATTTTAATCTTGCCAAATATAATATATTTACTAAATATTAAGATATATTTATTTGGTACTCTTCTTTTTAAACGTCATTTCTTTTTAAACGTGATTCATTCTCAATGTATCTATCAAATAGAAGAAAATTCATAAGAATTCTTCGAATGATATAAACGTCGCATTTAAAAGAATGCTGATCTGCGTTTTCGACCGATTAGACATCGCGAGACACGCTTATATCGACGTGCGATCGACGCCTTCCCGAAATAGCAAAATGACGGTCGAGCTCCGATAAATATACGAAACGACGTAGTTACAATTACCATTACGTATATCTGTCGCTCGTAGTTCCATTGTTCCGGAAAAGCGTGTAAAAGAATAGCGCGATAAAAAAAAGTGCGGCAGCGAGCGAGCGCGCGAGCGGCCGAGGTGCATTTTACGCATTCGCGTGCGTGTGCGTCGCTGTGCAGCTCTGGCACGGCCTTGAGAGGGGTTCTTTGTGCGGTTCAGCGTTCACTGCAGTTCGCTCGCGTACGCTCACACAATCGCGAAACACGGCCGCGCGCGCGTACACCCACACAGTTAAAACTGGCCCCCGCCGTTACATACGTACACTGTAACAAGTTGCGTTGCACTTATGTACAAAGGGCGCTCCATGTGACTCACGTGCTCGCATATGCTACCGGCGGTCTCCGTCCCTCTCGCTCTTCCTCCCACTGTTGATCTTTCCTCCTTTCCCTCCGCGTCCTATTCTATTTATTTCTCTCTCTTTCTTTTTGCTTCTTTCTCATTCGTACACACATATATATATATATATGTACCCACATACATATACTCGTAAACACATTATACATGCCGCGTTTCTCTCTTTCTGCTCTCTGTGCTTTTCTCTTTGTCGGTCAACGTCTCTATCCCACTCCACCGTTGGAGTGTGCAACATAGCTCGATCCAGATATACACACCGAAGTGCACACACGAGACCACGAAGAGTGCATGCGGGTGTTGGCCACGTGCGCGATGCACTTTTTGCTCGCGGGGCAACCTTCGCCTTTTATGCGTCGTGGGGCGCGCGGGGCCGCGTTGGAACTTTATACCCTTTTCAGTGATTTGCTATGACGAGCTTTTCGGTATACGCCGTTGAACAAAGGTAATAGGAAAACTGCGACAGTAAGATCACCACGTATTTTTTGTTAAGTGGAAATGCTTCGTCGAACTTTTCTTTGATAACGCTGATTTAAGCAGAAACGTGTAATAAATCGATTGTCTCTCTCAAGACTTTTGTAATATTCCTTGAAATTCTCAAATTAGATAATTCTTAAAATATAAATGTAGTTTTATATAATCTATATGCTATTTTCAACAGAAGATTATAGCTTTTGATATTCGCGTGTCAGCCAACAAATCGATTAGAAACAAATTTCGAAACAAATATATAACTCCGAATTACGGACAACTATCGCCAAGTTCTTTGTAAAATCGTACGTAAAGTCGCACATACTATAAAGACATAAATCCTTCAACATCACGAGTTTGGCATAACAAATATTGAATTCGATTATTATAAATCTCTCTCCGTAAAGGTTCCAGCGTGAGCGCGGGTGTTCTCACGCGGGAACCGTCGAGTGACATTTGACTGGAAAAACAGGTAGAAAGCCAACGGGGCGTCGATGCTGCATCTCTACGACGCATATATTTTGCAAGCGGTGGAAAGCGCGCGAGCGCTTGGCAGTATCTCTCTCTTTCCTTCTTTCTTTCTCTATCCTTCTTAGTTGCAACGACCGTTGCTGCTGTTGCAGCGCTCTGCAGCAACGAAGATTTCGCGACGGCTTTAATCGAATGCAGGCGATGACGATGTGTGTGCCGTTGCACAAGTGAAAGAGCCCCGAGCCATTATAGACGTTTACTCGAAATGTCAAGGATGCAACCACGTGTGCTTGCGCGGGAAGACGACGGAAAGACAGAGAAAGAGAGAGAGAGAGAGAGAGAGAGAGGAAAGAAGGAGGAGACGAGACAATGACAGCCGCGAGGCTGCGTGGTAGAATTGTTATTTTGTCACGCATGGCTTGTACGACGTCCACGGTGCGAAATGAAAAGTGGCCATATCTAAATGTTTCTGGAACTCTACGGTACGATGAGCGCCTTTCCGCGGGGAGCCGCTTTCACTGCGGTCGGAGTCGTGCGATGCGCTTTCAAGGTTGCAACCGCGGAGTACAGGAGCATGATATCGTGATTTATGTTTCGTAACACGCGACAAGTGTCTTCTCGATGCGTTCGGTTATCTGTAAGAAGCAAGCATGACGTCAGCTTGCACGATTGATATCCGATTCCGATCATGAAGCGATATTTATTTATATATAATTATAACTCGGTTGCATCAGACAGTATTAGGATTCTTTTATTCTCGAACCAGAGGAGGGATGACGTGGCCGCTTAATAAAACTGCTAGTCGATGACATGATAGCGAAGAGGAAGATATATCTGAACGTCAAACAAGCGACGACATAAGCGCAATGGAAAGCGTGTCACTTGGTAGCGGGAGACAGCGCGTCAAGACTTTATCGTTGAAGGACTGCAATGTTCTACGAAATCGTAGCCGCGGTAAATAAAAACGCGCATACATATCCAGACAGGAGACAGGCAGTCTGCTGTGGCGCATGGTGATAACGCACGTTTTCCAAGCGTAGATATTGATGTATATGTTTGTCGAGCTTGGAACAGTTGATTCCAAGGCCTGACGCCTATCAATATCTACGATTGTCAATGTCGTTGTATCACGATCGACATAAGAAACCTTATGCGCAATAGTTTAACAGACGTGATCTTCACGCCAAAGAAACTGTAAACACTCACATGTATATAATTCTGATACAGATTTATATTCTAATTAAAGGAGTTTATTTTTATATCTTTTTATTTCGAATAAGAATATTTCTAATCGCTTATCCGAGAAATTGGAGCGAATGTCATACCTAAGTTCTTACGACATCCAAATAGAAAGAAGTTGCACGTGCCCAAGGGTATTCTCTCGTAATGTGCATAAATGTTGAAACTATAAGGAGAAGGCTGTTGGATCACCCAATATAAATTTTAAAACGATCATTACCCAACAATGTCGTTCTTGCCATATTCGGACTACGTTACCTTGCAGCGTGCACTTAGTGGCATTAAATCTTATATACTTCGCTATGCGAAGTAACCGTCTCAGCACACTCCGGTCACTGATGATTTGCCATTGTGTAATGTAATTTGCGTGTAATCAATTGTCGTTATGAAGCGTGGCGATACGAGCGGGAAATGTTATTACCGTTCGTTGGCGGACGGTAGTTATAAAATCGCGGTCATCGTTAATTCAAGTATCACGTGACATTGTTGTCAGATAAATGTGTTCGAGACGAAAGAATCTCTTAATTATGACGTACCAGCCGATCGATCCAATCATCGCTTCTTCTCGACTTCCGTCTACGTTAACATAACAGCAATCTGTTTCGCGATTATCTTCGTATCGTACACACTCAAAGAATAGAAAAATCTTTATAGAACGAATCTTGAAAAGAGTTTTCCTCTTTTGTTCCATAGATCGGGCGCCGCGTCGATCCGGTTCTGGGTCTCAGCAACCTCTGGTGATCTGGCTGCAGCCCGGCAACGTCGAAGACTTGTCGAGCTTGCCGCTACCAGACCTGGTGCAATCGGCCGTGGATCAGCTACCACCGCCGTCACCCCACGTGACAGTTTCTGTCCCTAGCAGCCCGATGAGAGACGCGACCTTCCAGTTCCCTGAGTGTAACGTCAACAGCAACGGTGCACCGTTGCCGAGCCCAAGGCCACGGCCACGAAGACGTTTCGCCTCGGAGAGCTCCGTCATGGAGACGGGCCCGACCGAGGTGAGCAACTGCAACGGTACCACCTGCCGCTGCCACCTCGGCCTGATCCTCAACGAGAGGCAGTCGTGGACGAGCGTGGGTGCCAATCTCAGGAACATCGCCGGTGATTTCCACGCGTGCAGGACCAAGGTCAGTGTTACATGCCAGTCACGCGTCGTTACTTCGCATTGAGATCCGCAATTCCGATTCGATCGAGTAGCGGGGGAGGAATGCAGATTGCGGATCTCAATGTGGAGTCACGCGTCTTTTCCATAATATAATATATGCATTCCTCCCTCGCGATTCAATTGCATTAATATAACGGTATTTATATCGAGAATGATTACAATATTCTAAATAGTATCTATAAATATCTGTGCGTATCAAGTTTCATGCTCATTTATTATTAGAGATTAGGTTTTATTTTTGAGTCGGGTTATGGACAATTTTCAACACGCACCGTTTTATCGCTTTTATCTTCGCGTCGTCGGTACCACAGCTGATGGCGTAATACAGAAGCGTTTATGGTAAGAGGTGTACAGGTGTAAAACGCTATGCGTAAAAATTGTACGGCACGCGTTTTGCACACACAAAAGCCATCATGTAACTTTTCACTCCACGCATCGCAATTTCATCTTCCCCATGAAGGCTTTTATTTGTCATAAAGTTGCCCTTGTGCCCGCGAGTATTATAAAATGTAACACGAATGCACGACAAAGAGTCCTCCGAAAGGTTAGTTTGAAATTTTGTTCGCCCTCGAAATCCCTAAATTCCTATCGCTTAATTTACAAATTATATCACAAGTTCCATAAACGTATACGTGTCCTTTATTTTTGTGAATGTTATAGATACTCTGCGGATCTGTGTAAACTTTTTCAAGACATAACCGAATCCAAAAAATATTTCAATCCAATATAATTAAAGTTAACGTTTTCTTTACTTATTCGAGTATTTTATCATCTCTGAATTTTTCACAGAATTCCTACATTAATGTAATCTGATCAAATCTGTAACATTATTTACCTCGATGAACCGATACTCTTTCACGAGTATCGATTTTGAGATAGACTAGTATCCAGATTTTTCTTCTGATATTCAGGATTTGATAGCGCCATGAATGATTGAATATCTTTCATTCCGCCGCGAAACTTTTAGGCGCCTCACCACGATGGAGTTTGCAGTTAAAGGTGTTTCTTCTTTAAGAAAGATAGAAACTATCGTCGTTGCGGGGTCATAAACGCGAATTTAGTTATATCAGGGTACCAGCGATGTCCCACGAGTGCAATAAATATCAGCTCACCACCGTCGAGACGTCTAGTATTGCCCCCCGTGTGTATGGCCCGGGTGCCACTAGCACTTCATCAAAACTCCACCCGTCCCCTTCCTTCCCTCTCGTAGTGGTCGTTCGATCAAATATGTATCGCGGACTGATATGGTCCTTCTCTGGTATTTTACGACGGTTCTTTTCTTGTTCGCGGAAGAAAGAAAGTGGCGATTGGGAATTGGCTGGCGAATAAATAGAGAAATGCGAATCGAAGATATATATTACGAACATAGAAACGTGCACGATGTCATCATCTTCGAGATTAATGCAGTAATGAAACATGTCTATGATATCATTTTGATGGATTGACACTCTATATATGCGAGACTATATTCCTCGCTTTTTTTTTTTACTAAAAAGAAGTAATACCTATCATCCATGTTGCGGATTAATTATGAATATCTCTCTTCTAAAAATGGGAAACTCATTAGAGAGACGAGGCAATCCTTCTTTCTTGAATATTTAAATTTCAAACGCTTATCCAATTATGAATGCAATTTCCTGTTGTCTATTATTAGTCAAGACAAACATATTGCGCGATCAATATTATGCTGAGTCGTTTCATCCGGCTCTCTGTAATACGTGAAAGAAACGGGCATAGTTAATGCGGAAAGTTTCCGATTATTGTCGCGACAGTTACGAGATACTCATTCCTTCGTTGAAAAGACTACGGAGGGTCGTTCGATCAAATATGTATCGATGAACGAGAAAATTCCCCTCGGTTTTACAATGACTCTTATTTGCGGTTGCGGATTGAAAGAAAGTGAATGGCAGCAGGATGAGACACTAATAGGAAAAGTAAGAAGAAGAGAAAGTAGACGGGGAGAAAGATAGTAAGAGATGAACAAGGTGGAAAGAGCCATTTCTCTTTTATTCCGCCTCGCTTTTATCCACTTTAAAGGTCCGTCGGCGTGATACCCAATCCCGGAACGTCTAATTATTGCTGGTTAAGTGCCGGTAATTGAAGAGGGGCGAACAGACCCGTGAAATTGAAGAAATCTCTTCGTCTCGCCTGTTCGTAGGAGATCCGACACCGATCAGTTCCTCGACTTGGTAACTCGAGAAGCGTCTTGCTGATAATACGGATAGAGGATCTCCTAGAGCCAACAGGGTGCACGCTTTTCTCTTCTTCTCGAAGAAATTGAAATGTCAGATTAATATCACCCTAGCAACATCGTTCGCGGATCAAAAGACGTACTAACCTTGTGACTAATGACATCTCGTCATATATATCTATATCGTCTTAAAAAAAATTTACATTGAAATTTAATTATTTCATCCTTCAGTAACGTACACAATAAAAGTAATTTGCTTTTCGCGAAAAATTATTTAACAATAAAATGGATTATATTCTAAATGCGTAGGAATAGTTCTCAAAGTGCTCGCCATTGAATTGCGGCTTTTCTAACACGTCTAACAAGCTTTTCGCAGATTTCCGGAAATACGTCGCAAGTGACGGAAACGATCTCGTCTCCCATGTCCCTCTGCGCGCAATAGTCACGGGAAACTACCGATGGCACGGTGCTTTACATATGCATGGAGAGTAAGCGAGCATGTAGCGGCTAAGTGGCCACATCCCCTTACGTGAAAGTTAAGTGGGCATGGCAGCACGAGCCGTGGCCACGGGCCGAGAAAATTATCTTCAATTATCTCGTGCAATCGGAGCTCTCCCCCTCCGCCCACCGCCTGTTCACTCCTACCTCGCCACGTTTTGTCTATCTCGCTCTTTCGATTAGCCTTTCGGCCGATCGTCACTTTTATACCTGCACGGTAATCGAATAGCTATACGCGTTCTCGCCGTGTTTTCGTTGACCTCCGGATAGAGAGGGTTATACACCTGGTAACTCGCGTTTCTATGTAATACAGGATTATGGGTGAGTGGCCGCGCTCGTAAAACGCGGGATATAGTACTTCGACGTGTCAGAAACAGCGAAATAGCCAACTCCTCGTATATCGCTTGGAAAATTGAAGTCAGGCAATTTCCCGTGAGGGCATATGCCGATACATACTGCGTACACTCTACAAAACTCATTACTCACGGAACACGTTAGATCCTTGCTTGTCGAAATTTTAGTTTAGAAGCTCCTAAATGATTCGATCTAATTTGTTTCCGCGTACTCGACAACAAGTACACTATACTTGACGGATTAACGTACACGCGTCTCTGAGACGGATCTCGTGACGAAACGCGCGCTCGTCTGACATTTATCCGTAGTGGTTTAAACGATCTGACCGACGCGCAAATTGATACATTAGTATACCCTCATCGCGCAGCGAGATAACGGATCTTTTTGCGATGGCGCAAGCCGAGGGCAAAGCATGTCGAACCACTGCTAAAAGAGGGAGGGGAGGGGAGCCGATACAAGAAAGTCGATAGTTCTTCGAACCGTAGCTTATGCTCGTTGCACGCGAACCGCTTAACTCTCGTTTACGTCTTATTTTCACCTTCGCTGGTAGATATGTATGCGACATGTACCCGCGACACACCGCACACTCCCGCTATTCCTCTCGCGGAACACGGCTGCACCACTGCGCGTAACCTGCGCGCAAATTTATAACGCTTTGTCACGCGTGCAGCACTCGCGGAAATTCCTGCTTGCCGTTCCCTCGTTTTATTGGAAACGGGAAAATTATTATATCGCACCGCGCAAATATCGCACTGTGCGATTTCGCCCCACGAGGCAGCGATAATTTATATAATACTCATGCATCTTTTTAACGAGACACCTGTAACAGTAATAATAACGATTCGCTTGATAAGCAACTGCGCCTCGTGAAAAATAGTGAAAGTCGCGGATAATTTCTGCAATATGACGGTAACTCCAGGCTGCAACTAGTTATCATGTATGCAAGTGTAGCCGTACTAATTACCAATGATCGACGTTTAATTGTTAGTTATTATCGGCCGTAAGCAACGATATTAACAGTTCTAATGAGAAGTTAATTGTTTATCTACTTTTAAAAACGAGATTGATCTTTCAAGAAATAAGATTGACCAAACAATCGAGCGTAACATGCGTTTTTCCGCGTGCATTGGATTTTTACGACGGTACTTTTACTATCGTCGATGGCTGCGGAAACTGGAGAGCGCATGAGCGGCGTAAGCGGCGTCGCACGTAGATACCGAACGAGCCGACCGCAACTTCTGTTTTCCATCGGCTTTTTCTTACTTAATCTTCGCGGCGAAACCTCGGCGAAACCTTAGAACCGGGCGATTGGCCGTTTCCACGGCAAACCGCGCAATTACGTTGCACAATAATCTATCTTGCCAGTAGTGCTCGCGATCGTAAGTAAGCCTTCTCTATCATGCCGCGGCGCAAGTCCCCGACGACGGTGGAACGAGGATGGAAAAAGAAAGAGCGAGAGGACTAGAGGAGCGTTCGGTTTAATCGCTCGCATCGCGTACTCTCGCGAAAGCCGCTCGTGCGTAATTGTCGATATTTTTTTTTCCAGTCGACCGACAATTCGCGATAAATCGCCGCGAGCGCTGTACGCTTGACTCATAGGCGCGGTGATTATCCCACCGCTCTCTCGTAAATTGATTTATTTCGGGGATTGCGCGATGCATAAATCGAGAGACAGGCGTGCGGGAGTTCTTACTTTATTCTCCAATTGTCTGTCTGTTTTTCTTCGATGTTTTTGCCGGTGCAGCAAACGTATCGATGGCTCGCACGTAAGCGCGGAAATGCAATATATTGATTTTCCTTTCGCGATGCGTATTGAAGAATTGGTTGCGGTCGGCAGTACGAGCAATCACGGGGAAACTTACATTTTACAATTCATTCGTCATAAAGCTGAGTGCGTTGCGTCTTTTCTGCAATTTGCTTTCTAATCTGCATTCATGTATTTTCGTGTACTTTTGATCGCAGTGGTCTTTTTTTGTGCGTGAAATGTTTTTACTGTCATTGATAGCCGACCTCGTTTTCCTCTATTTTTTTTTTCAAATCCGGAGAATTGACTCACGTATCGTGACGACGCAATTTTCTTTGTGTGAACGTACAACACCGTGTATTCTAATTTACATACATAGGTATATATCTCTGGCATTTATCGAATGCGTATAAAAAATGTATAAAAGGGTATATCGCGATATTTCCCCTCTCGCATTAAAATACTAATTAAAAAAACATTTCATGTAAGCTTAATCTTATCGATTTGATCTGATCGGCAAGAGACACTTCTCGTATTTCACTTTCTACAAAATAGTTTTGACATAAAATAAAATAGTTTTCTATTTGCACACGAAGGACGTGTATAGCCAATCGTATTGCTCGAACGTGCGTTCTCTTCCGGACTGCAGGGTTATAAAACGGCGTCACGGCGATATCTCTGTGGTCGTTCATACACGTAGAGGCTAACGACACGTCCGCGGAGAGAGAAAGTCCATCTCGTGGTCTCGATTATACTGTCGCAGGTGGCCGATCGGGGATCCTCGTACGCATTAGACATTAACGAACGTTGATCACGTCCCTTCGCCCTTCGCGGCGACTCGGTACTCACCCCAGTGTCAGTCGTCAAAGCGCGATTCCGCGGTGAGGAAGGGACACTATTAATTGACGAGCAGAACGCTCCCACAAGCAGCACTCTCGCGCCCTCCCACATAATTCTCCCTTAATGTGACGTTCTCGTCTACTCCTCTTACTTTCCGCCCTATCCACATCCAAGATAATCTTTCCTCTCGCGCGCTTATATACGCGCCAACGACGAATCGAATGTTTTTTTCCCGTGCGTGATTGCAAGGGTGTGAGAGAACATGTATTCTCTTTCCCTCTCTTTCTCTCTTCCTCCTTCGTATAGGGTCGAACACTGCCCAGATATTATGGTCATCCCATAAAAGCCTACCACCGCCTTGGTGATTGGGCTTTCCCCGGGCGTTTATTATTGCACGTCCGGTCACGGCGAGTGGATTAAGACGAGACGGGAATCGGAAGTCGCGGGTCGAAGTTGAGATAACGTCGACGGGAGGCGGGGCAGAATGGAGAAACAAAGGGAACCCTCCGGAGTTAATCGTCCTGCGGCAGGAGATCGTTCTTTCACGCGAGATATTACAAGAGCGTGCTATCAAGATTTGCGATAATTTTCTCAGACTTTTGCTAGATCAATGTAATGGATTTTTTATTTCTTGTATTATATTTTGCTCGGGAAAAATTATATCTGTATTTTACAAAAAATAATACATCGAATTATTTCGGCGTAAACTTACACGTTAACCTGCATCAAATTACAAGTTGAACCGATGATGGTAAAAGAAGACTTTCTGTATGAATAATGAATTTTTACGAGTATTATCGCAAACGAATTTGCAAGAAATTTGTTGCAAGGCGTTTCGCCTTTTTGTTTTAACACAGAATTCTTGCGATCCAGCTAATACGCGGAATCATTATACCGGCCTTATCCGAAAGTATCGCGAACTAATTGGGTAATAAGTATCGTTTATAAGTACATCCTAACGGAATTCCTTTTTGCGCGCGAGCGATTTATACGATTCTCGGCACGAAAACCTGCACTGCGGACGCGGCGACTTTACCGATACCGGTAGTCGTAGGTATTCAGTGCAACGGAATGGAAGTTAATTGGGTAATTAGTGCTGTTAATAAGCAAGCTTTAATTGAACCTTTTTTCCAGGTCGCGAGTGGTTGCGCGCGAGAAACGGTTTTCGTAAAGAAAACAGGGAGTCTGAGAGACGTTGTAGACTTTAGCGACGCGATATTTCCCCTCTTACAACGCTGTTCCTCCGTGTAAATTCGTCAGAGTAAAGGGACTCGATAAAACGACCGTGTCGCGTTTTCCTTCTTTTTTTTTCTTTTCGTTGAAGGCTTAGCCGCAAGAGAGTGCCGGATCGTCGGTAATTCCGTCCAATTAGGACACTCCCAATTAGGAACCTTAACCCCGCACATCGACCGTTGTTCCTTCCCATACCATTCTCACTCCCCGGATCTACTACTACGAGAAGAAACTTACGACAGGTCGCCTTCGCCAAATCTTCGCGAGAGTATCGGAGAAGTCTCGTTACGTCCATTTACCGTTTAAATATCCATTCTCACAGAGACACGCATTAACGATATTGCAATCTAATCGTTATTAAGTCTATTTTATTTTGTCTACGTACTTTGTCATCAATATGCAACTCTTGTGTGTGTGAACACATTTTTTTCTATCTTACACTCGTACTCTCCCTAAAAATACATTGTTGTCGGCGGAGGGTTAAAATTAATAATTGATTATCAGTATACTCGAAATATTGAACAAGATTTCATTCTGTTAGAATTGAACAAAGGTATCAAACAATACTGAGCGATGAATGTCGCTGCTTACTGTTGCAGGACGCCGAGATCGAGAAATCGACGCTACCGGTGATCGGTCCAGGTTTGAACGGTCGCAACAGCAACTCGTCATCCACCGACAGCCTGCTGTCGCTGTTGATTCCGACGCCATTACGAGAGACCCTTTGGGCAACGGTGGCTCTATACCTCGGCTGGAGACTCGTCTCCCGCCTGCGATAGATGCGCCGGCGCCCGGTTTCGTCCAACCGTTCTGGGTAATCCTACGGGCTCGATCGTCGATTGCGTCGACGACTAGAACGGGGATATTGGGGGTTTATAATTAAAAGAAAATGGACGGACCGCCAGCACTTCTTTCCGTGTCTGCGATCGCGGACAATCCTGTATGGAATCCTCTGGACGGATCGTTTCGAGAGGAACGAGAAGGAGGAAGAGGAGAAGAGGCAGTCCACGGTACTCTGGATCTCTCTATGTCATCGGATGATGGATTTAATTGAGGTAGAGCGCGTCGAGAAGACGAAACATTCTTTTATTGAACATCCACTCCGATAATATGATTGTAATTTTATATTGTCTATCTTTGTATTTCGCGCCTACGTTGCGCGGTTACGCGAGAATGCGCTTGATCGACTTTGATCGGTTCCTGAGGGACCATGCGACTGCAAATAAAATTTGATATCTTTTGGTCATGACGATGAAAGTAGTGATAATTATTTGCTTCTGCGGCGTGCTTCTAATTTCCTTATAATTGATGATTCTAATTAATTGATTAATTTGATAATTGATAATTGATTATATATTATGATTTATTTGGTAGTTGATAATTGATAATTAATAATTGTAATTAATAATGATGATAATGGATTGATTTTATAATAATTTTTATACAGATGATTGTGATAATTGATAATGATAATAATGATTGAGTTGATGAGTCATAGTTGCTCTCTACTATATGCCTTTTCATCCCTCCTCGGGGACGAACGGGTAAATTTTATATAAAAAAGATCTTTAATTGGGAAGGTTGATTCCAAAAAAAGGTTCTTAAATATTACCTATCTATTGATTAAATCGATATCGATAAGAGAATCGACCATCCTATCTATTCGCTTCATTGCTGTTTGTCGAGAATTGCGTGCTATCGATAAATTATGACTGTGATTGCCGCAGATGACGAAGCGAGGGTTAGCAACGACGGGATAGCGACGTCGAAGTACAAGTGCATTCTCGCGCGATGCAGGAGTTATTTTCGTACGTAGCGCTGTTCGTTCGTGCCGATAGTTGATCCTGCGAATTCGTAGGCGAAGGGGCGAAGAACGGAAACTAGCATTTTTGCGGGGACAGGGGGGAAGATAACGCGGGCGAGAGTAATCGAATTGCGTATTATGTGGCGATCGGACCCGAGACACGAGGAGGGAGGTATGAAGGGTGACGGGGGAAACTAAGGACGAGATCCAAAGAGGATTAAACCCAATAATCAAATGATGATCTCATTACGGATAAATAAAGAGAATTAAATAAAGTAGTGTGATTATATGGGAGCGAGAGAGGGCGGACCACACGCCCCCCAATTCTCTGTCTTCTCTTCGCGCGTCCGTCCCTCTCTTGATCTCGCCAAGATAGAAAAAACTACTCTTCGGTATGTGGCTTGTAGATAACGCGATTCCCCGACCAGTAACGGTCGACGGAGCAATTCTTGTTCAAGATTTTTTTAACGACGCCGCGCCACGATGATGTTTCGCGCGAAGCTCGTTTATCGAATATATATATTTCTTTGAAAAGAGACAACAAAGCTTTTTAATTTTGACAATGTCACGAGCCTAACTAATCTGTTTTATCTAAATTACAATCGATTCACAGTTTATTATAATATAATCGATCGGCCTCGCCAAACATCTACGGTGCGCGTGCGGAATATATGTATATAAAGAGACGTCGAGAGGGATGACGATTCCAAAAATGTTAAGAGGATAGGGGACGAGCGAGGACGTAAGGTGGAGAGAGGGGAGCAAACTTGTATATGCATAGAGGATTTATCTAAAGTAATAAAAACTCAGTAATAAGTCGATGTTATAATAATTAAAGTAGATAATCGATAGGCCGAGGATCGCAGCATCTTGATTGGCTAGCTGCGACTCCCGTGGACAGTTTTCAAATGATCTCCGGTAGCTTAGCTATTAGTAGAGGCACCCTCGTGACATGCGAGATGCCTTTCGTGGCACATCGGAAGGAATATATCTCCTTCTTTCCCCTGTGCCCTTTCTAACCTTCTATTTTCTCTTTTCTTCTTTCCCGTTTCTATCTTCTTTCTTCTATCGACAAAAACTGTCTATCGATTCTCTTGCTCTAACTCACCTATCCTCAATCTTCTAAGAAGATCCCCTCCGTTTCACTTCCCTGCTTCGCAATTCCATGTTTATCGACGACAGTTCTTTACTGTTCTGTTGTGCGCGACGTAACGTAACGTAACGTAATCTCTGATCTCGAACTTAGTGTGTATTGGTAAGAATCATGTGTTGTGTTCGCTTGACGATCCAGAGTCTCAATTTTCATGGGCGAGCAGGCCCGAGCCTTCTCGTTTCGCGATTTCTCTTAGGATTCTAGATAGAAACGGCGGAAGGGCTAGCCTAACGAGTGAGGGGATAGGAACAATGTATCCTTGGGCTTTCTCGTTTCGTTTTAAACTATCGAGACCAAAACTATCGAGGCTGCTGTACAGTCGTCCCTGCGGGCCGCGCTTTCTCTTCTCCCCGAGTGTAAGTCTATTGCGTTTTCCTTTGTCTCCCTATTGATAGGATGATCGTGACGTTACTCCGTCAAAGTATTCCAGTGTATAGATCTATAGTATTTATTTGTAGGCGATACCATTTTTCTACCGTCTAATAGAGCCGCGTTTTGAGATAAATATATACGCGGAATACAGATATATATATTACTGCCACTTCGAGATAAGCAAATCCTCGCCAGACGCTTCCAAACGGGAGCGATTTTGTGGAAAGTCAATAACGTCGGTGTCCATAACACGTAATTTCTAAAGATGAAAATAGTTAGAATCATTTTGAAACAGAGTATTTAAAAAAAAATACAAGTATTTGTGGTACGCGCTGTAAGGAAATACACGGCGAGAAAGTTAACGCGTTATTCTAATCTCATTACGCGCGGATTGTAGGGTCTTCGTATTTTCACATTCTATAGCGCTTTATTCTGTAGCATTTTCGCGAGCCATTTCTCATCGTCAGGAACTCGGATCCAGTTCCGCGAAACGCGAGTCACCATTAAATCTAGCACGTGTTGAAATTATCATCATACAATGCAGATGTATTATTTTATTTCGTAAAATTCAGTTACCATCTAAAAAAATGCATTTATCAAATTTATCCGTGAATATATTTTAATATGCAGTAAATAATAATTAACTGTTTTTTTTTTAATTCGTTAAACATTTATCGAAAAATGGTCGCATATTTTTGGAAAACCTAATAAATATTAAATTCCAAATTTTTGAATTAAATTCTAAAAATGAGATTCTAATTTCATATTAATTGAACGGTATTTACAATTTTGACAGAAATCTTTGTCATATTCATTCGAAATTTTTGGTTTTCACAATTAGTAAACTAAAATTTGATTAAACTGCCAAAATTTGAACAATATTCGCGGTAATCAAACATAAAACTTGCCAATTAATAAAAATATTAACAATCGTCGCGAGAAATTTTATCTGAATTTAACGGTGATTCGCGTTTTACAGTCGGTAGAATTTCCAATCATCGATCGGGTTTCCTCTGTGCAGCTTGCTCCTTTCACGGAGAGAGCACGCAAAGGTACAAGATTATCATGTTATACACATTTAATATAGCTAGTGTTCGTCGTTGTATCGTCGAGCCACGAGCTAAGAGAGACAACTCTTTCTCGGTGGAGGTTGTTGCATTGCATTCCGACCAAAGGGAAAATTCCCGTTTTCCTGCAGCGCGGTGAAACGAGATGTGAGACGGCCTAAAAGAAAGGTCGCGGCCATTTAATCCTTTTACTTCGTAGATAGGGAAAGGCAGAGCGAATTCGCGAGCCCCCGCCGTTTATGGCCCGGGGGCGGATATATACACGCAATATAATATATATATATATATGTGTGTGTGTGTCGAAGGAAAATTGAAAGTGAGAAAACACGGCGCATGTACATAGTCGCTTCTCTTCGGGGCCGTAATTGCAGTAATGAACTACGATTTCTTTCCCGGTATATTTCTTTTTTTTTTTACCTTTTTTGTTCGTTTTTTAGAATTAATTGCTCTGTAGAAGCACTTAGATAGTAGTCAGCCATATTGAGAGTATAATAATGATATATGGATAAACGTATATAAAAGTTTATATATATAATGGAAGAAATATATGTATATATATATATATATATAT